GTTGGTTAAACATGAAATGGTGCAACATGGCGAGTCAACTAGCTATCTTGCCGATTCGTCGCAACGTGGACCTCCCAACCGACATCCCCGTTTTCCCATCATCTCATGTCGAACCAGTACTAGTGGCCTTGTCCTTCAGCGTCGCTGACCTTACCGAGTGCTGGCTTGTGACCAGCGAGGCACAACCACCACCCAACTGGGTGTTTCTGAAAAAAAAATCCCTAAGAACTCACTCCATAAGAGTAGACGTCGGACTTCTGCGTGTACAAGAAAGCTTCCAAGGATTCTGGAGCCATCCATTTGATGGGCATTTTCCTTGGAGTTTTCATTTTGTATGTGCTGCCTTTCTTGGCTTTTGCAAAACCGCTCAATTTTACCTTAACGAGACTTACTTTCCCTCACCGTCATAAGACATTTCCTTGATGCTACATTTGGGATTTGACCATAGGTTTAGGATAACAGGCAGGATACAGTATCCGAAACTGCGCGTAAAATTAAGTGCTTTGGACCAGCGAGTGCACACGGTACACCTCAGCTGCTGCCTAGGCAGCATCCGGCTAGAGGAGGGAGCGGAACGTGTCGCTCTCTTTTCCTTTTCTCACAACGAGGTACCCATTGTGTGCGTTAGGAACCAAGACATTTAATTTCACGCAACTTCTGTGGGTACTATATACTGCCTGTCTTCTTGAACTTATAATCTTGTCACTTAGGAAGACCAGCTATGAGTTCTGTAGTAGAAAGTCTCACAAATTGCCTGTCGTAGAGGCAGTTCTTGGCGGCGATATCTCGATGAAGGATTGAGTTCTGATGAAGGTATTCTAGTCCCCAACCGGAACTCATAACCATTAACAGAACTTCATCTCGTTTTATTTCAGCACCATGAGTACGAAGCCATTCGTCAAGGGGACCATCTGGAAATACTACTCAGCAGGCATGCTCAATATTCAGGCCTTTGACTGAAAGTACTGGATACAGTACCGGTCAAACATCTGCCACCCCAAGACGACCAGTCTCGCTCCATTTCTGGAGATTCGAGTCGCCCCACCATATTAGAGGAAAAATCGGCAGAACACGACCCCTCTCTCCTAAAAGTTACCTCCTCTGGGCAACTTCCCAGCCTCTCCTCGTCCCCATCTTGCCCATCACTTTCCTGAATCCTCCCAGCTTCCTACCACTTTTCCCTAGGAACCTGCTGTTGACCAAGAGGGAGTATATACCAGTCGGGATTTTTCTTTTACCGAAAAAAATTCAGCTTCTTCCCGTAAACTATTCTCGAACGGTCTCCAGCGATCATATACGGCCACCTTGTCGGGGATTCCCAGCGTACGGGCATGCCGCACGACACGCAATTCAGAACTACCCAGTTGGCTAGTGGCGCATTATCGTCAAGTAAATTGCGGCATACCGCTCGACGTCCTACGCCATTTATTTTACGGCCTTGTCTTAAACCGTATTGTCTCAAGATACTTTTCAACCGCTGAACCTCCCTTCTTTTTCCTTTTTTCTTCGTATTTCCTTCTTTTCCTTCCTTCATTCTCTATTCCCTCCTCTACCTTCTCCCTTCAACTGCTTGGCCAGCAAATGTCATGAGGAAATACCACTGGACCCTAGCAGCCCAGAGCATGTCCGGTTGACAAAACCCTGTAACCAGCCGCTCAGTTCTCCTACGGAAATCAGGGCGGATCCTGCCGTTTGGGAAAGAAACCTTGCAAAATGCGCTCCCACCCCTACCAGAACGTTCGTCCTCTTAAACGCCTCCTTCCTAGCATTTCCCTTTTTCGCTCCTACGCGAAAATTAGTACCGTACCTGAAACGAATTCAAAAACGAAACAGTTCGGTTGTGCGATAAGGCAAACGCCAAAATACTGCACAACGCAAGGATGGTAAAGCTCGTTTAGTAGTCGACATTGCGCCATCAGTTCCAACACTTTCTCTTTAGCTTCCGCTGAACGACCGGCTACCTAAAATTAATGTCAGACATAGACGTTCACGCACGTTCTTTACTGTCTGGGTACTGTCACACTTTTTCGCGCCTCCTGTTGTAGACAATTCCCATATATTGGAGCCCCCGTTACTGCCAACTCTTCGAAATTTACGCACTCAAAGATGACAGTACAAATAGCATACCGTCTTGACAGCGACTTCCATCGGAGTGATATCTCTTCGATGGATTTTTCCCTTGAAGACTTCTCCACAGCTGAATTTACAGATGGGCTGGTCGAGTTGCACGTTTTCGGCACGGAACTCCCATGTCGCGAGACCCACTCCTCTGACTAAGCGTATTTGTTGCTGTAATTCCATAATTTTGATGGCTATAGAAAGAGTGAAAATTTTGGGGCAAAAGAAGTTTAGGGTGTGGAGCTCTTTAGCGCTACTATGCCTTGGCATGTGTAGGCCTTGTTCGCTACGGATACTGAAGCGTGTCAGGGCGGCTGGGTTTGGCGTGGTGCCAGCCCCTTCTCCACCAATTGCAGTCGCTTGCCATTGGTGGGAGGCTGTCGGCGTGGCGAACCCGGCCTCTCCCCTCCCCCTCCCCCCGACACGCCCAAATGCTGCAGCGAACAAGACTGCATTGTCGTTCATTGGCACATTACTTATCTGCTTGCAGCAAGAGGCATGGCTGCGAGAGTGGCGAGGGTCTAGACGAAAAAGAGGCAGAGATGCATGTGTAACAGAAGGTAGCCGACATGGAATAATACGTGGCCACGCCCCTTGCTGCACTCAGGCAGGGGCGGCGTGGCTGTCCGTGCCCTTTCGCTGAACAAGAGCTTCAAGAAGGCGTGGCAAGGCGAGATAGACATGCATCTATGTGCATCTGAGCCCTCCTGCTCCCCCGCTGATTAGCCCTCCCTCCTTCCCCTAGTTTATGAAGCATAACGGACCGAGTTAGAAAATATCATTGCATGATCCATGTAGTACAGAGAACCAGTTCGGGAACAGACCAGAAAGTACGATAGGATAGCACGTAATACTTCTTCTTCGTATATTGAACGATGATATGCATAAGCTGTAAATGTCGAAGTCAAAGTCGCATTGCTTTGGGTTCAGTTTAGAGTTTCAAAGGCGCGGTTGCGCGCAGGGGGCATTCTTGCAACTTTCCTGCTGTACGGCTGTTAGCTACGTTTGAACATGGCGGAGCATGAAAACTCTTGTCGAGTGTAGACGAAGCCCGCGATATTGTTTTCTCCTGCATTGGCCTTTACAAGACTGTAAAGGCCAATGCAGGAGAAAACGGCTGTGATCGATGGGAACAGCAATATGCCCCACAAGCCCGGACCATGCCAATTTGAGTTGTGAATGCATCAGCTTCGATGACTGTCACCGTACAAAGTCCATTCTTGTGTCAGGGTCATTGCCACGACAACGTGATTTTGGATCGTGCATCACCGACAAGACCATTTCCAGTTTAGTACCCATAGTATCTGCCTAAATGGATTCAGATTGAGGAGTGACATAGGCGTACCCGATATCTCGAAGGTGGGGAGGGCGTGGCTGCGCACTTCATTTGAACATAGACTAGGATGCTTTTTTGTGTGGGTATTTCCATTTGAGAGCAGCTGCCATGCCGTCATTGTAAAGAAGCAAAGGAATGAAATACCAGTGTTTATCCAAATGAGCAAGCCCCCCTCCCCTCATAAAAAGGGCAACCTGAACAAAGTGTTCACAACCACGTCCTCCTCATTCCGGAAAGTCTACCAGCGATCTGCAGCGTTCGGTGCCTTCCCACCCCTATTTCCCCGGATTAGCCATAATTGGTACGACCAGCCTAATTTAGAGGTAGCTGGCACCTGGCAGCGAGACAGCTTTAATGAGGTGCGAAAACTTGGTGCCTAGCTGCGAAGTGACCTCATTAAGGAGAGAGGGCTTACAATTGAGGTTATTGAGGTCGTGGCGCGCATTTAAAATAATTTCTGCACGACGTAGGGGTCCATAAAAGAATCACAAACTCGGTTCAATTTTTGCTCCGCATTTCTGGGAATGCCAAAAAGTGAGTGAAAAGTTTGCTGAAGAGAAGCCGTTTCGAGCCGAGCTCTTTTCTTCCTCTTTCTTCCTCTTCTGCTGAGCTCTTTTCTAACTGTAATGTTGAATATACACAGTTGAGGAGAAGTTTGTCAACCATGCATCGAGATGTGTTGTTCAAAATTCAAGGTGGAAAAAGTCTTACCTATTCCGAAGGTATTCAGAATTGTTGGCAACAAACAGCTTCGGCGCCGTTTATAAATGTCAGAACCGTGATCATGGCTTTTGATGACCCCTAACACCGAGTTTCACAGTTTCATTTTCAGCCCTCGGCCCCCCCCCACCCCCTGTTGCAAAGGTTACCGCTGGAGATAATGGAAGCAAATATATCAATGGGACGGCCGGCTTAGCGTGCCAAAGCAGCTTATGCGTGAGGTTTGACAAACGACTTCAAGATACAAAAATCGGCACTATTGAAACTATTCCTACCCCAAAAACTCAAAAAAAATTTTTTCGCTGAAACGTTGTCTATGAGTGTAGTCGATGCCCTGATCACGAATATCACATTCGTTTTGAACGCGGGCGTCATTTGGCGCCATGCGCCATTTGGCACCATATTGGTGCATAATGGCACCAAATGACGCCAGCGCTTGAAAACGTGAGGTATATTGTGATTGCAGCGCGATCGAACTACAACAATCTATAAGGCAACGTTTGAGAAAAAATTTTTTGAGTTTTTGGGGTAGGAATAGTTCAATAGTGCCAAAAAATCTCCTGCACCAAATCAGCGATGAGTTGCGTCATGGTCAGATGTGAGTGCCGTGCTCGTGAACAGGGCATCGAGTGAAGCCCGTAGCCCAACTTTCAGCAAGAGTTTCCTCAATAGTGTATCAATAAGAAACCAAAGAAAAACAAACATTGGGGAAATGCATACACTCCACAGCACAGAATCCGTTTCGCCGAGCGCAATAATTAATTGGGACCGGTTCGTTAGCTAATTGTGTAGGTAAGAGTATCCTTATACATATTTCATTGACCTCTCTCGTCATTTTATTGATCATCTATCACTTATTATGTCAACATGTGGATAACAAGATGACCTGTCAGCCCTCGCTCGTTAATGAGGTCACTTCGCAGCTAGGCACCAAGTTTTCGCACCTCATTAAAGTTGCCTCTCTGCCGGGTGCCAGCTACCTCTAAATTAGGCTGGTCGTACCAATTATCCGTCACCCCAATTTCCCATAACTCTACCAGCTGTCTGCACCCTCCTGACGCGCCATACTCTCCTGTCCCGGACGCTGGCAGCCGCTAGATCTATACCTATCCCCTATTTGTCGCGTCGCTGCCGGACGCTCGAAACCTGGTGGTCTATTGGTCGCTGGTGGACGCTGCCGCAAAGTATGAACGCAGACCTACTGTTGGCGCATTCACGTGAGAACTGAACAGCCAGGCGCGCGTAAAATCAATGCCCTTTCATATCACATGCATTATCGTAATCAGTGAGTTGGTGAAAAGAGTTTGTTTCATACGTTTCTAGGCGCAGTTCGGCTCGGTAAGGGCACCGAATGGTACTCAATCAAACTTGTACAGGCTACCCTGGTAAAGCCTGAAATTCTTTTGACGCAATATGGCTCAACGATCGACAGCTTTACGGCGTTTAACGTTTCACGATTTGCACAGGCCTTTACGGCCTGTGCAAATCGTGAAAGACCACCTACTATGAACTAGGGAATGTGCAAAATGATCCTCCAAGCCGAACAGCGCTCGTTTCTGAGTTGAGCGTAGCGGCACTTTTTAGCGCTGACGTTGATATTCACCATGTCGTATTCTCTTGCCTTATTCTCTTGTCTACGCTCAGTCTTTCTGCAACGCATGAACATGTATTGCTCAGAGCAAACAGGGATCTTACTAGGGTGTATTTGACAATTTGGTTTACCTTTTTCTTCATTAATGTCCCACTTACCACATACTATTGCCTTTCAGCCCTACGACCTGCAAATGCCCATCATGTGCCTTCAAAAGCAGTGGGCACGATTATTTGGCAGCCATTGATGACTGGAAGAGGTAAGGCTAAACTGCTCAACGCGTCGGGTGTGTCCAATACGCTCCTCAGTTGACGAAGCAGCCCACTCCCAAACGCATCGCGGGGGCCGCTCGACGTTTAAAGATTTGGGAACTGTTGAAGCATGATGTGTCCTAGATTGGAGCCAACCAAACGCGAGCTGAGACGGAATTCAGTTGCCCTCAGCTGAGCTAATGGTGAGGTGGCGAAAGAGGCAGGAAGGTGGCGAAAGATGCACAGCATATGGTGTTGCTGCGATCGCGTCAGGACTCGATAAATACAACCTAGCTTGCTGCTGAGTCAACTAGCAAGGACAGCAGAGTCGGCCCGATGACGCACGCGCGATATCGCGACTGGTATGTCCTGCTCTGCATCCGTTGACTAGAGCGGAGAGATGAAAATTGCTCACTTCACTCAATCGTATGAGGAAATCGCCGTGTTTCGTCAATAGTACAGCGGTATCTTCTCGTGGCAACAATCCATGAAAGTAATCGTGCTTCATAAGTGACACATCAAACTGCAAAACAACAACTGAACGAACAGTCATGACAGTATCGCATCACAACTGACAGCTTCAGCCGGTGGAACACCCGGTGCTTTCGGCATTTGTCCGGTGAGTAAAGGCGAGTTTGAAAATGAAATGACGAATCACTTCGCTACTGTCTATTTATACCCCAACCCGTATGCTATTTCTACTTCGGAATGAGATTGCTGTTGATGAGTTAAGAAGCTTCTCACATTTTTTTGAGAAAACTCGAGCGGTTATAGTTCTGAGTTGGTCGCAATGAAGATTTTTATTCAGTTTCATCCAGTTTCGTGGCGCTGTCCGTGTCACGACGGGTGCCAGTGGGCATAGTCTGCGAGTATGGCCTGTGTATAAACGGAATATCTCATGTCGGCCGGCGTGGCAAGCGACGCTGCGCCCGACGGACGAGTTGTCCCGAGCGGCCGTTTGAAGTTAAGTGCAAAGGAGTTTCTATACCGCTCGTGATGGGATCTTACTTCTGCTTCAGTTCGTATGAGCATGAGTCTTGCCAATCCAATCGTCTAAATGATGAGCATCGTGGATTTGTCGCACATCGCCGCCCGATACGCCGCGCGCGATGACGCGACAAATTACGATTGTTTTGCTCGTTTCCCGTGTCAAAGTCTGTGCCTGTGCCCTAATAGGACACATCTTAGCTTTGAGAAGAATTTGCTGATTACGAGCGCCACCCACAACTCCTCCGATACATCCCCATTCCACAACCCCAATCGTCTCACCAAACTTCCTCAAGGTTTATCATCAAGTGG